TTTCATATGTTAGATGTCAAAATGACTGAATATTTTTCAATGAAACAAGCAGAAAATCTTTTTTTTCATTATCATGATTATTATTCTGTAAATGTTTACTTAGTATGTGCTGCTTCTAAGCCTCTCCACAGTTATAGAGCACAAAAAATTCATTTCAGTAAGATCACTTCACCACGTGTAGTGTTCTGAACTAAATATTTAGTATAAGAAGTTAATTGAAGAGATGTTTTACTAATTTATTAAACTGTTAAGTATATGAATACATCTACTTATCAGTGTTTGAATAATCAACAACGACTATCAGAAACACATATGATAGACAAAATAAAATAAAAGACTATAATAAAATCAGCATCCAGTATATTGTTATTGTTGATGAACAAATGCTCGAAGTTTTTCGATATTTTTTTTCTTCTTTAAGATCATTAGGCTTCGTAATGATAATGATGACATGGATGCTCGTCGTAAATTCTTAATTACACCGGCAACACTGAATGCTTGTTCTAAATAAACCGATGTTGCTGGAATCACGTTGTATCGACGTGCAAGTTGACTTAATCGTGGTAGTGCATGGGCATTGTTTTTCCAAAATGTTTGAAAATTTATCGATTCATTATCTCGGATTAAAGTAAGAAAGGTCGCCATTTCGAGATCAACATTTACAGGTTGAAATGACAAAGGTGGAGAAGCTTTTTTGTTGGCAACATTCATAAGACTGCATTTAAGAGACATCATACGGTCGGAATTCGTTGCTGATGATAAAGCTTGTAATGTAGTAGATGGTAACATTGTTGAAATATCAGGTGTTGTTGTGTCCATTTGTTGCATATTGTTTGTAATCACACGCTTTGCTGATTCATAATCATTTTTATTTAAAATTAAATCGCCATGAAAAAGCGGATCGAGAAATGCTGCCACCTATAAACGAAAAATTGAAATATATTATAGGATGGATCTATACTAATAAGAACTCTCTCAAAAGAAAATTTTATCTACAGACATAAGTCTATTTTTTTTCTACTATAAAATTATAAGTATCAAATGAAGATTATTCAATGATTCAGTTGACCTTAGATGTACATATGTGACATCCCGAAAAGCATCATTTAAAAGTGGAGCTTAATAAAATTCTTACTTTCATTCCAAGTTTTTGAGCACTTGGTAAAAAGTCATCAAGATAATATTCCGATTGAAAATTCAAACTTTTATTAATAATCATATGATAATAAGTTGGATTTAATGTTTGTTGAACATTTTCTTTTAATGTTTGAAGAACAAAATAAGACATTGATTGTGTTGGATAATCACCCGACAGTATCGTTGTAGCCTTGTCAAAAATATCAAGACAATCATGAAATGCATCTATTAATTCCCAATCATCATAGGTGAATACTAATGAACGAAACTTTTTTTCTTGAATAGAAGTTAAACCTTTAAAGTCACGTTTAGCAAACATTGCATTAACCAAATCCCGAAGTTTAATTAGGCGATGTATCATTTTGAACGTGCTATTCCAACGTATCTAAAAATAAACCAATTCAAATAAAGTCTCGCTTTAGAAAATGTCTACGCTTGTCAAAATACAATGACAAATAGCCTTGACAGATATCCTGAATTAATTGAATAAATCAGAATAAAAAATTATGCATAAGTACCGGAGACCCTCGCACGGAAGGATGCTCTTTAGGCACATAAACTGAAACCGACTTTACAATATATCAGTAATTCAACGAAAAATGTTGACTATCTTTATATTCAGTGCTAATATGTTTCTCATATCACCTCAAAACAATATTATCCATGAGTAGAAATGATCATAAATTCGTTTCAAATCAGTTGAATAAAATTGTATTATTTTTATTCAATCATTATCGAATTTTAAACTTACACTTTCTCTTATTATGATGTCAAGGAGTTTTTCAAATTTGTTTTATCGATTAAGATTGATTGATAAACTTTAATTAATAGAAGTTGGCAAACCTATTAATCGGTTAGAAAAAAATCAAAAAATATTTACAATAAAAACAATCGAATTTGACAACTAAAAATCAGATGATAATTGGGTAAAGTTAGTGTTGTTTTGGTTTATATTGTTGAAGAAATAAATCTTTTTAGTACAATATCTCGCCTTTTTAGCATGAATACATGACATTAGTAACTTACTCATACGAAAATGCGATATGCATCAATGTAAAAAGGAATTCTTGGTTACTTAGTACTATCATCTAATTGAGTCGAAACCTTTCATCACCATCTAGTAGCAGGCCGCAGTTCATTTCTTTTCATTATTTTCTATACGTGTTTATAATTTGATTGACGCTTAATTTTCTCCAATTCGGAACAGTTCGTATTGGCTGATGAAGAATTAGAATGAGTGTCGCGTACACGTGGGTTCTAATGAAATTTATCGAAAGCATGAAACCACCACTAGCTGATGGAATTATATAGATGATTCATGTTTTAAAGTATTCTTGTTTGCATTTAGTAAACGATGTCAAACGGCTTTTTTTGAAAAAATGCTAGCAAAGCAAACTATTCCACCCTTTCTCGATGATGGTCTCTTATACGTACTACCTATAGCTAAAAGAGGAATGCGCTTCTGAGAACAGCTGGTTGTCAACAAAAACATCACTTTTTTGCCAGAATAATTTTCAATTAATTATAAAACATTTCTCATCATGTTGTTGAGAAATCATAGATGTAGTATAGAAAAAAATCGTGATTAAAACTTACTTTTACATCAAGTATAAAACCTCCTTTATTTGGACCAATTTGTTCATATATATAATGTTGAAGTGGAGCAACCAAACGAGTCATCGATACAAAAGCACGTACTTTTCGTACAAGACGATTAATACGAACAAGTAAATTAAAAACATCTTCATTTGATGATGGTTGTTCAGTTGAAACATCGGGTTCCACTTCGTCAAATACAAAATAATCGAACTAATGTATATATTCGAGAAAAAATAAGAAAAAAAAACGATGGCGAAAAGTTAATATAGCTCACTGTTTGTTGGCCATTACTATCGAGTAAACCTTCTCCATTAACAATGGACGTCGACCATGAATAAGATGTAATTTCAGCTGTTATCTCGTCGTCTTCATCGTCGACGAGAGATGTGTTTACTTGTTCGTACATTGAATCAAATGGAAATCTAAAAGGAAATCAACAAAAAAAAACTAATGATCATAGATATAATGAGATATCCAAGGTAGATTTTTGTTAATCTAAAAAATGATGTTGACTATATTCCATATACATACACACATATATCTATGCGTATATGGTCTGCATGTTCATGTATTTTTGTAACATGAAAATAATTGTTATCCTATCAGTAGGCTACCATTTTATGTACGAGAAAAATCCCTGGATAATACTATCGAGAAAGAAATAAGGATGGCTTGTAAAAGAAAGAAAGAAATAACAATATGAATACCGCAGAAGAAAAGAAGAAATATATATTATAGAAAGAAAAAAAAATATAGTATTCGATGACTTATTCAAAGCAAGTGCATAACTTTTAACAGTTGTGATGAGCCCTGGGAGAAATGTTAGTGCAATCAGAATAAGGGCAATTATTTTCTTTTATGAAAAGAATTAAGTGCAAAATTTTTCTTCCTTGTAATGTTTCTTTTTCACATAGAATATTCTTTACCTTTTCGGATTTGGTAGATCCCATACACATGTAGCATGATGAACAACAAGATTTAAACAATGAGCAAGACATGCATATCGAGGACCAAGTACATTTAAAGATGCTCCACATTTAATATCTGGTCCATTGTCCGTACTAATACCTGATAAAATATGTGTACCAAGTCCAAAACGTACTTTTTCATGCTCGAAAAATGATTGTATATTAACAGCCAATTTTCGTTCATTAAATTGATGAAACGATATTGGTAATGAAATAAAGTCAAAGTCGATTGAGAACGTGTGAAGAGAGAGTGAAATAATATGCTGACGAGAAACATCTTTCCATAAATCACTGGTGAAGGCGATTGGTCCGATATAAGGTAAAATAGATTTAAGGTCGAGAATATGTTGATAGTATTGATCATGTACACGTAATGAAAGTGTACGACGATCCGGCGGCTTGTAACCAGGTTCAAGTAAATTAAAAAGTTCAATTACTGCATCATGATTAAATAGACTAAAGGGCAGACTGCCTTCGATGATGCATTTCAATATAGCTTCATCAATTGCATGTTTACGCATAAAAGAAATTTGATTATCGGAGGTTTTATTCATTTTCAAAACTCGCTGTTCTACTTGAGATTCATAAGCAACATTTTTTAAATTATGAAGCAGAAGATGCGATCGTAAATTAGCTGTACCACGACCATTCTGTTTGATCATCTAAATAGTAAAAACATAGTATAACTTAATTTTTTCTGTTAGAAACCAGCTTTCATTGTAGATTTTATAAGTCAACTGAAGCAAACTTATTTCATCGATGCAACTGAATTGTTTCATATTCATAGGGATTAAACAAAATTTTCCGTCTTATATGTAATTCATTTTTTTTGAAAAAAGATTTTTAGAAAAAAACCTGAAAAATTTCTAAACAAAATTAAACACCCATTTTTTTGCAAAAAAAATTCAGCTAGAAAAAGAAATAAACCATGTCACCTTTCGTTGACTTGTACACAACGTACATCGGTATCTTCCATCAACTTGTTTTTCAAACAGTTGATACACTTCATATGACAGTCTTTTTCCTGATGTAGTTGTTGTTTTTTGTGATGGAGTTTTATCAACATTAATTGGATGTTTTGTTGAATTGATATTTTTCTTGATCAATTGATTTTGAGCAGTTCGTTCAATAACACTTACAGTATCTGATTTTACATCAAATTCATCATCGTGTATATTGTCATCAGAATCGCAGCTATTTGTTGACGAAAGAACAGTTGATGAATGTAAATCGGTGTTGATGATGGAAGTGGTAGATTTTTTTAATCGATCGATTTGTTCTAAAACAAATACAAACATCTTGGGACAGAGGCAATATATTCGTAGTTAAGATGCGAGGACTACTCAGATGACCTTTTTTTTTTAAAGAGAAAGTGAAAGAAAGAAATTAAGAGTATTAATAAAAAAATTCTTAAAATCTTATTTGTTCCTATCCAAATTATGAAATTCAGTACACTCGAAAAATCACGAAAGAGATTGTCATCAGACTTAGCCTACTAAACACAAGAAATTTTTGTTGCTGAAACTAGAAACAGAAATATTGTTGATATTTCTTCCATATACCAATGTAAAAAGATTAGGATAAAAAGCTAGATGAAAACCAATTAGAAAATGATTAAAAGTCAATTATCATCATACGCTGTTAACCGATTTCGACCAAAATTAATCGAACCAATCAAAATTCCATTGATTATTCCCTCGACTGTAGGGAGGGTCATATGAAAAAAAATAGTTTGTGTGTTTGTGTGTTTGTGGCAGGGTCAAAAGAACATACCAGAGAGGTTAGCTTATTTTAAGACTTTTGGTCGTTTTGAGTGAACTTTGCCATAGGTTATCGAGGGCCCTGAATCCGAATCCATTGCCCATTTCGGTGGCTGAGGTTTTATTGGTCAGGAACTGACCAATCAAAAACGAACTTTCTTATTTTAAGACTTTTGGTCGTTTTGAGTAAACTTTGCCATAGGTTATCGATGGCCCTGAATCCGAATCCGAAGCCCATTTCGGTGGCCGAGGTCTCATTAGTTGAAAACCGACCAATCAGAAACGAACTTTCTTATTTTAAGGCTTTTGACCTTTTTGAGTGAACTTTGCTATAGGTTATCGAGGGCCCTGAATCCGAATCCATTGCCCATTTCGGTGGCCGAGGTTTTATTGGTCAGGAACTGACCAATCAAAAACGAACTTTCTTATTTTAAGACTTTTGGTCGTTTTGAGTGAACTTTGCCATAGGTTATCGAGCGCCCTGAATCTGAATCCATTGCCAATTTCGGTTGCCGAGGTCTCATTAGTTGAAAACCGACCAATCAGAAACGAAATTTCTTATTTTAAGACTTTTCGCCGTTTTGATCGAACTTTGCTATAGGTTATCGAGGGCCCTGAATCTGAATCCGAAGCCCATTTTTTTGGCCGAGATTTCATTGGTCAGGAACCGGCCAATCAGAAACGAACTTTTTTTTATTTTGAGACTTTTGGCCGTTTTGATCGAACTCTGCTATAGGTTATCGAGAGCGCTGAATTTGAATCCGAAGGCCATTTTTTTGGCCGAGATTTCATTGGTCAAAAACTAACCAATCAGAAAAGAACTTTCTTATTTTAAGACTTTTCGCCGTTTTGATCGAACTTTGCTATAGGTTATCGAGGGCCCTGAATCCGAATCCGAATCCGAAGCCCATTTTTTTGGCCGAGATTTCATTGGTCAGAAATCGGTCAATCAGAAATGAGCTTTTTCATTTTAAAACTTTTGGTCATTTTGAGTGAACTTTGCTATAGGTTATCGATGGCCCTGAATCCGAATCCGAAGCCATTTCTTTGGCCGAAGTTTCATTGGTCGGAAACCGGTCAATCAAAAAAGGAACTTTTTTATTTTACGGCTTTTGGCCGTTTTGATCGAACTTTGTTAGAGGTTATCGAGGGTGAGAAATCCGAATCTGGAATCAGGATTCCAAAATTCAGATTTCGAATCTATTCGTTCTATGAGAAGTGATGTTGAGAAACAGCAAGTACTTTGTAATACGTGACAGTAGTGTAATGAATCAAGAAATACGAAGATAAGATGAAATTAGAGTGCTTGTAGAACAAAGATTGAGGAATGAGAGCGAGTTACGCAAAAAAATTATTTAGATTGACAGGATACAACGGCTGTGTCCACTTATTCAGAATATTTCAGATTATCGGTAAATCTATACTAACGTGTCCTCTTCCTGAATACTGATAAGCTTCCAAAGAAAATTTCTAATGTGGATGAATTTTTTTGTAAAGGATCAAACTTTCCATCAGTTTTTAAAATAGGAACGATGGCTCGATTTTGAAAATGGTATCAACCTTTCGTGAGTGAAAGTAGCTGGAAGTAGCGGATAGCCGTGAATGGCGTTCCTTCGGAAGGACGGCGAACGAATAGCTGCCTCTAAACTAGGTTTATTCAAATCTGTTTTACGACATTTCTGCATAACATCAAGCAAGGTCCTTAAAAAAGTGCCACAGAGACTTAACATGTGACATTTTATGTAGAGAAGGACTCCTATAAACATGGAGAAACTCGAGAGACGACACGTATATATTTAATAGATATCTTGCTGGATATAGGAAATCTAGTACCCTTTAGTTACGAGTAGAGAAGCTTTTGAAGCAGTCGAAATGTGGATTAGTCATGCCTTGAATAAGAAAGTAGTCATTTGAGAATATGTGTTCAAAGATAGTAGTAGCTAAGTGTGAATAGCGCCACGTCGAAACTCCGACAGTGAAATATAGTAGCTTCTATTTCTATTTCACATTTTTTTTGGTATGAGATATGGTCTATTAAGCTAGTTTTTTGTGTGAAATCATATACTTAAGCTTCTTTCGATGGCGAGCTCCATGAAATCTTAGATTGACTAGCTAGGTAAAGGATTGAAACGCATAAGGAATAGTTCACAAGTATTTTCACTTTGGGATTTCTCATGCGATAAATATAGGCAGCTTTGAAACTAATCCAAATCTAGAATCCAGTAAAATTTAAATAACAGTGCACGATTATATAATTACTGGAAGAGAACGATGCATAACAGCAATTAGTTGCGCGTGACGACCCACTCGGATGCTGACGAGTGACTAGCTGCTGCCCTAAAAAATCCTTTGAATAGAATTCTTTTAAACTTCTAATCCATTGGAAGGATCTCTAGCACTTAGATCTTACTAGGATTCATGGGAGGAAGAACTGGCAAGAGGGTTAACAAGTGTATTTGAATGAAGTGTGAGAACGAGTGTGTTGGAGATATTCAATATCGGAATCGAACATTTCCTGAAAAGCGTCAATAATACAATTTGCATCGAATCATCAAAAGTGGACTTGAATGGAATTTAATAATCCTTTATCTTCATAGATACGTCATCTGCCCATTGACTTGTCAAATTTTTTTTCCGGCTATTTAAAATTCGTTATTTAATCTCACAAAGACTCAGAGTTGAAGCCTGATTCAACTTGCGTATGCCGGATATTAGTTTGAACAAATATAGCTTTTTAGTCTGATAGCTACGCTAAACATGCATTTTCGTAGTGGGTACCGGTCAGCGATATTGCCCGCCTATGTGTTTATGAGTATGCGCATTATTAATACAGTTTGCGTGAAGTGTAGTGCATCTTTACTGCAGTCACGCTGATATTTTTTGTCTGCTGATTTTCTCTGAAAATCGAATATACTATTTTTTCGTGGTTTGAGGATATTGCTGTGTCAGTGTGGGTCACGTAGATTTCTTTTGAGTGTTATTGATAGAGTAACAGATTAAATGAACGAATGTTATAGCTAGCAGTATTACAACGGTACCAATAGCATTATACACGCCGACACATGTGTACACTAATGTTGACACTAGCACAAAGACATGTGCAAATGCCCGATGCTACCTTTTGCAAAATGTCTGCAGTAATAAACAACTGCCGATGCAGTGAAATATTCAGTCGAGGGTTAAGCGAGTCACACAGACGAGCGTTACTTGTTAAGATTAATTTCAATTATAATCGATTAAAACTTAATACAATAAATGAATATAAATGATTTTTTCATCACAAGAATTGAAAATAACCTGCAGCAGATTTTCATGAATTTGTATCGTTTATAATCAAATTTATAAGTTTCAACCGATTATAATCGAAATAAGTCTTACTAATCAATAGAATTTGTTTTTTTCGATTAAATTTAATTGAAATCGATTAACAAGTGATAAAGGATTGATTACAAGAGTATGATTAGAATCGATTTTTAATTATTTTAAAGTCGATTTTAATGTGATTTTTACTCTAGTTGTTTTATGCGGGTAAGTGGTAACAGCAAGAATGAAAAAAAAGCGTGTTGTCCTCTACACAAAACTTTAATAATTACATTATTAGGCAATATATGAAAACGATAAGACTCTTTGTAGTGGTGTTTTTATCTGACATTTACTTGAAAATATTTACATCTTTTCTGTTACTAGTATGTCTTATTATCCATAAACATTGATATAAGCTGCAATAAATAGTTACAATAATTTCATAGATATACAAAATGAAACATTCATTTATTTCTTATAGTGAATTTACTTACGTATAGATGATTCTCGTCTCCGACGTACAACTCTTGATGATGATGGAGATCGACTAGATAATGTATGATGCAAGATACGATTCGTAGTCGAAGATCGTGATGATCGAGTTCGTAAACTGCTGGAACGAGTTGGAGGATGTGGTGGTAAAGCGTCCAAACTCGAGTGGAAGTTATTAGCTGCACCAGGCATAGAAACAGCAAAGCAAGAAAACACGTTAAAGTTTTTACGTGAATAATGATGACTATGAGATAATGCACTTGTTTAACACCACCTTCGTTCTTTACAACAGACGAACTAAACCAACAAAACTATTAAAAAGAAATAACAATAACAAAGCATAACACTATTAGTCGTTCTCTCTGTTTTGATTTACGATAGGTTACCGAACAAGTGACTCATAGTCTTTTCTTTTCTCTTCTTTTTCCTTCTCTTTCTGCATCGAAAGCATATAGATCAATATCAAACAGAGAATGTGTGTAATCTTTTTTTTCTTCTCCATTTTATTAAGTGTAATCGGATGAACTAAGTAGATATTCAGTGCATAATGGCTTTTTTAAATAACTTCATAGCCAGAGATGCAATCAACTAGTGTTCAACAGATTTTTCATATTTTCATTTTTATTGATAATTAAATGTACAGGACTTAATTCAGATGATTACGTTTTATTGAAGTGACACAAGAAGTGATCCTACTGAAATGAATTTTTTGTGCTCTATAACTGTGGAGAGGCTTAGAAGCAGCACATACTAAGTAAACATTTACAGAATAATAATCATGATAATGAAAAAAAAAGATTTTCTGCATGTTTCATTGAAAAATATTCAGTCATTTTGACATCTAACATATGAAA